GATGGGAAGCCAATATTCTGCAGATCCCAAATCTTTTCAATCCCATAAATCAAGCTAATCACTCCTTTAATGCATTGGTCCGTTGGAGCCTAATTTTGCACTATAAAAAGGGGTGTTTGGGTCTGCTTTTCTCACCAATTCACTTCACAACATCTATACTTTCATTCCATTCAAATATCATAATTTTCCATAGCTTTCTAGAGCCACTTGTGTGAAGGTTGAGTTGTTCTTGAGCGTACTTAGTTTACTCATAATCTACTCTATAAGAGAGTCTCGTTCTTGAGTGTACTTGTGTTCTTAGACGCGTTGAGAGATAGTATCACTCTCGGTTGATTCAAAGGAAGGTCTGCTTCCTTTGAAGGATTCGTTGAGGTTCGTGTGACTCGAACTCTCAAGTTGTAACGGTTTGTTAAGCACCCGTAAGCTTAACGAGTTAGTAGTGTAGCTCGAGAGAGTCTCTCGGGAGGCTGGATTAGCCACAAGTTGTGGTGAACCAGGGTAAAATTCGGTGTGCCTCTTACTCTTCTCTTTACTTCTCTTTTAAATTTTTAATTCCTGCGATTTCTCCGATCAAACGCTATTCACCCCCCCTCTAGCGTTGGTCTTTTATTCTAACAAGTGTTGTTTCGAGAGAAGGTGTATGGTGTAATCCTGAAAAATATGAGATTTTCACCACAAACCTTCTCTACTGCCGAGATTCTCACCATAGACCTTGAAAGTCTTTTTCTTCTCAGTAGGCTTTCTCCATTGCCATCTATGAGGGTGAGAAAGAAAAATTTCTCCATTGAGAATATTTTTCTTGGTGTTTTTTTCTCAGACAGTGAGTGTGAAGACTTTTCATATTGAAAGAGTTGTTTGTGATAAGAATGGATTGGGATGTCTTGATTTAAATAGGAGAGAGATATAGAGGGGGGAGGTTCACGGGTTCCATTAAGTGGGTATAGTAGTTGGAACGGTGAGAGTAAAAGAGTTTCAACTTCCAAGAAGTTGAAAAGTGGAAGGAATCTTTTACCAGTTACCAATGTGTTGAAACTGTTCCTATTAAAAATCAGTTTCGTTTGGTTTGAAAAACGTAACTGTTTTAGTTTGGCTAAGCCCAAAAGAGTGGCCCAAAAAAAAATCTATGCACTAAAGGGAAATTATTCCTATTGAGTTCTCAAGGCCCAAAATAAAACTATCATTTTTCATTCCCTATAGTTCTAATTTCTAATTAGGACGAGGTAGTACCAAAAAAAAATTGTAATTCATTTTTAAAAGAAAAAGTGGTACTATTTTTCCAAAGTCCTGTACATTATAAAAATCCTAAGGACGAGTACTTAAGAGCAAAGTTGGAAATGAACTAAGGATTAAAGCTCAGTTTAAGAAAGCAGATTTTGTAAAGTACCTGAATCGGAGATCTCCAACTTTAGTACTTAAACTAAGGTATCCGGCTTCCATTGCTTAGAGTTTATCAATAGTTCATTGCCAAAAACAATTGAAGCAATTGTTAGCCAAAAACAGTTAAGTTCCCCCTGAATTATATTCCCTCTGAATCTATGCGCTTAAGGATAAATCTCAAGAATCACACTTAGAATGAATATGATCAAGCAAAATAAGCGTAATTAAGAGAACTATTAAGCAATTTTTAAACCAAAACTCATGTTTAAATAAGAAGGTGTTTTCATCAAAACCAAATAATGTTTTCACATACTTCCCCTGGGTTTAATGAAAAGAGCCTTCACTGCTTCCTGCGCTTTGATGATCCGGCAGTCTCACCAATGCCTTGCATAATTCCACATTGTTCTTTGATGCGCCTTAGATTTTTGTATCTCTCCTTTGTTTGTGCATCATCTGAGAAGTGGGAGGCAATGGTTCCAACAACTTCTGATCCATCAAGGCTAGAGTCTGTTAGATGTTGAGTTGAGTTCTCCGGATTGCTCTGCTGGGCTTCTAGTATCAGTTCTGTCATGTTCAGATGAGATGGAATGTAAGTGAGCTCACCTTGCTTGACTTCAATAGGCAGCTGTGGGATCAGGGATGGACTATTGTGTTGGACAATTACATCTATCTTGCGATTGCCAGTGTAAGTTCCAAAGTGCCTGAACATCCTGAATGCTTCCTTCTGATTTTCAGCAATAACCTTTAAGTAGTCTTGGATCACCACCTGATTTGCTGAAGACACTGCCAATGCTGATCTGATATCCATCTGAAGGAATCCCATCTGCTTCTGAAGACTGATTGTGACAGTTGCTATCTGCTCCTTGATTCTAGTGATTTCTTTGAATTGTAGGTGGCTGTCAGATGCATAGGCTTCCATTGTGTTGCTCACAGAGTTACTCAAAAGAGAAATAATCTCTAGAGTCTTGTCCACGGATTTGCTTATCTCCTTGAGATCTGAGCAACGTTTCTCTTCAGATTTCTCAATCAGTTTGTTATGCCTAGCTTCCATTTGCTCTATATCTTGCCTAAAGGAGGCATGCTGAGACGCTAGGGCTGATTCAATCAACCCTTGGACCTTTCTTGTCCAGTTTTCCGATACCTCATCCGGAAGGGTGGATGTGAAAGAGCTGTGGAAGTGAAAGTTAGTTACCTGATGTGAAAAAGGTGCTCTGTGGAAGAGTTGCATAGGGAGCGATTCAACATCTTCTTGCTCAGCTTTTCCATCATCAATCTTCAATGTCCTTTCAGACTCTTCTTCTGTCTCATCAAGCATAAAGTTTGAGACTTCCCTAGAGAGGGAATCTCTTTCTTCAACTTCATTCTGCTGCTCAAACACAGCTACTCGAGTTTCAGGGGTCTCTAGTCCAGCCATTTGAGTTTCCTTCTCAGCTTCTGCAGAACTTCTCTGGATTTCTACAGCTTGCTCTTCTTAGACTTCATTTGCTTCTGGAGGTTTGGACATCTCCAGATTTTCTGCTGACTTCTCTGGAATCTCAGTTTCAGTAGGATTAGAGATCTCACAAGGAGTTGTGAGAATCTCTAAAGCTTGAGATTGGAGAAGTTGCTGGAGTTCTTCTTATGATGCTTCTTGGGTCTGTTCTTGTGGAGTAAAGGCTGCACTCTCCTGGTCAGCTTCAGTCAGAACCGTTTCAATGGCAGGGGAGGTTTCCAGGAAAATTTGGAAATCCTCAGCTGTGGTTTCCATATCTTCTTGTGCTTTAGTGGTAGGAGCCACCCGATCTTTTATAGCCTTTGAGAAGATTGGCATGTAGACGGCAGGATCCTCATCGTCAGCCTCAAATTCTGAAACTGGTGAGGTGACCAAGTGTTCCAGATGCAAATCTTCATAGTTCCTTTTCCATACCCAGTCAACATCCAGGATTTGCTCACAGCAATAGTTGGCTGGCAGACCTAAGCATTTCTTGATGATCTTCTCATTCTTCAGTTGCTGGTCCCAACTCAACAACTGTTCTGCTGAATTTCCAACTTTCCAAGCTCTCTAGTCATAGTAGAGCTGCCAGAATTGATTCTCAACATCATCAATTTGAGGTTGTGAGGAAGTTGGAGAATTCTGAACTTGAGGAATTTCTTCATCAGGTTGTTGAGGGCTCTGGTTGTGGGCAGATGTTTCCTCAACATGTTCCTTTCCCACCAACTCATCTGGGTTGACATTTCCAGATGTTGAGGGAGAGGTGATTTTCCTCTTCATTTTCCTTTGTAGTTCTCCTTGGGCAGAGATTTCTTCTTCTTCTTCAAGATTGACCAGAGCAAGATTCTGTGGTACTTCAGCACTGGGAGAGGGAGACACCACTTGCTTCCTCTTTACTGACTTTTTCAGACTCATGATAAGGACATTGTCTGAAGAACTTTCCTCTGCAGTTGCATTAATGCCAGCTTTGTTTTCCCCTTTGGAAGACAGATAGTATAGCCAATATCTGACATTATACTTCTTGCCTTTAGAGGCAACGCCCATTGACTCCAAGATGTACCCAAGGTACAGTCCTTGACATAAATACTTCTGTTTGGGGGTTCCCTAAGTGATTTGAAATGGAATTGAAGAAGTGGTTAGCCCAATTTACCTTAGACTTGGTAATGAGGGCATTGATGATGAAGGCCCTCTATTGGGTGATGTCATCAGCATGTCCTCCACTTCCACACTCGAGGCATGTGATGACCAGTTCAAGGACTAGCTTGTAGTCGTTGTTCAGATCAGCTTTCTTCGCTGGGCCAGAGGGGACTTGCCCAGAAATTCCAATAATATTCCAATCCAGATTCTTGGCTGGAAGTCTCCCAATTTCAACTCCAGAATTGGGAAGGTGAAGCTTTTCTCCCAATTTCTTCTGCGAAAGCTTCACTTTGGTCCCTTCGACAGTGGAATTGATGATTTGAAGCGTCCTCTGTGGGTCCTTCTTCGATTTGACAGTCTTGACCTTTCCATTCTTGTAGAATTCAAGAACTTCGTTCTCATACTTGAATCGAATCTCCATATGAAGGAATTCAGAGAGCTCTTGAACAGCAATCATCTCCAGATAGGATTGATAGAACGTTGGTGAAGAGCACTTGGCTTCCAACTTCTGGAAATGGACATTAGCGCCAACAATCTTCATGTTCTCAGAAATTTGAGTGAGAAGATCTGAAGAATTTAGGGTTCTTGAGAATTCTATCAGAAGGTTCTCGCGAAGAAGACGATGAAAAATTTGAGTGGGCTGAGTGGGCAGTTGAGAACTGATTATCGTGGCGATTGGGTTTAATTTGGGCGATTTATGCGGCTAGTGGCGATTGGGTTTTTAACTTTTCCCAAGACCACGTGCCTACCCAATATTCTGACAGACGTGGAAAGTGGACTGCCACGTGTACCGCACTCAGTCTAATTGAATTAGACCAATTTTGTGAAGCAAATCGGAAAACTTGGCTTCACTTAGAGGTTTTGTGAAGATATCCGCCAATTGTTCTTCAGTTGAGATATACTCAATTTTGATATCTTTCTTTTCCACATGATCTCTCATGAAGTGATGCTTGACATCAATGTGCTTAGTGCGAGAATGATGCACTGGATTTTGTGAGATAGCTATAGCACTTTGATTGTCACAGAAAATTGTCACTTCTCTTGTCTTGACTCCATAATCCAGTAGTTGTTGCTTTAGCCACAAGATCTGAGCACAACAACTACCAGCAGCAATGTACTCTACTTCTGCTGTTGACGTAGAGATGGAGTTTTGTTTTTTACTGAACCAAGAAACAAGATTTCAACCAATGAATTGACAAGTACCAGATGTACTTTTCCGGTCAACTTTGCATCCGGCAATGTCAGAATCTAAGTATCCCACTAACTCAAATGAGCTGCTCTTAGCATACCATAAACCCATGTTCTGAGTTCCTTTGAGGTATCTAAGAATCCTTTTAGCTGCTATCAGATGACTCTCCTTTGGCTTGGACTGGAATCTGGCACAAACACCTACTGCATATGAGATATCTGCACGGCTTGCAGTAAGGTAGAGTAGAGATCCAACAATTCCTCTGTAGAGAGTTTGATCAACATCCTTTCCGTCTACATCCATATCAAGCTTGGTGGATGTACTCATGGGGACAGAAACGGATAACTTCTGATCAACTTTAAATTTCTTGATAAGATCCCTTGTGTACTTGGCTTGGTTAATGAGAGTCCCTTCACTTCTCTGTTTGATTTGAAGACCAAGGAAGTAGTTGAGTTCCCCCATCATGCTCATCTCAAATTTTCCTTGCATGAGGGTGGAGAACTTGGTGCAAAGATCTTCCTTAGTTGAGCCAAATATGATGTCGTCCACATAGATCTAGACCAATAAGAGATCTTCTCCATCTTGTAGTTTGAATAATGTCTTGTCAATGACTCCTTTGATGAATCCATTATCTATGAGAAATTGAGATAATGTATCATACCAAGCTCTTGGTGCTTGTTTGAGTCTATATAGCGCCTTTTTGAGTCTGTACACTTGATCACCTTTAGTGTGTAGCTCAAATCCTGGAGGTTGTTCCACATAAACTTCTTCCTCTAGGTTTCCGTTGAGAAATGCGCTTTTGACATCCATTTGATAGACTTTGAAATCCTTGTGAGCAGCAAAGGCTAGAAACAGCCTTATAGCTTCAAGTCTAGCAACTGGAGCGAAGGTTTCATCAAAATCTATACCTTCTTCTTGACAATATCCTTTGGCAACCAACCGGGCTTTGTTTCTGACAACAACGCTGTTTACATTCATCTTGTTCCGGAAGACCCACTTTGTCCCAATGACATGTTGATGAGTAGGTCTGGGAACAAGTTTCCAGACATCATTTCTGGAAAATTATTTGAGTTCTTCTTGCATTGCATTGGTCCAATCAAAATCAGCTAGATCTTCTTCAATATTCTTTGGTTCCACTTGTGAGATGAAACAAGCAAGCATAGCTTCTAGATTCTGTTGGGCACTCCTTGTGCGAACGCCAGATTGAATATCTCCAATGACTTGTTGGGGAGGATAATCCCTTAACCAACGAAGATTGTGTTGATTAGGGTTGACTGGTTGATCTAGTTCAGCTTCTGGTTGAAGAATAGAGTTTGTTGGTGATTCCGGATGGATTGGCACTGGGTCGCCATTTCCGGAATTGTCGCTGTTTGAGTGATCCGGAATAATGGAAGGTTGGCCAAGATTTCCGGTAGGCTCAGCACCGTCTGAATCCAGATTTCTTTGTGAAGTCTTCAGTGGTAGACTCCCGAATGGAATGAACTCCGTAGGTTTCATCCTATCTCCTTCATTGGCTTCTCCATCCTTGTATGAGAGATCCAGAACCTCATGATCATGCTTTGATGGTTTGTCACCCACATGTTTTTCATCAAAAATAACATGTATTGACTCTTCAGTGATCATGGTTCTTTTGTTGAAAACTCTGAACGCTTTGCTCACCATGGAATATCCTAGGAAGATGGCCTCATCTGATTTCTCATCAAAAGTGTTCAGATGATTCTTCCCGTTGTTTAACACAAAACACTTGCTCCCAAAAATATGGAAATATGATATATTAGGCTTTCTCCCGTTCCACAATTCATAGGGAGTTTTGTTGTGCCTTTTATAAATCATACTCCTATTTTGAGTATAGCAAGCTGTGTTAATAGCTTCAGCCCAGAACCTCTTTGGCAAAGAAGCTTCGGCTAGCATGGTCCTTACTGCTTCCTTCAAGGTTCTGTTTCTTCTTTCAGCTACACCATTTTGTTGAGTCGTCCTTGCTGCAGATGTCTGATGAAGAATTCCATTTTCTTCACAGTAATGAATGATGATTTCATTCAGGAATTCTGTGCCTTTGTCAGATCTGATCTTCTGGATGGTCTGACTTGCTTGGTTTGAATCAGCTTCATGCAGTTTGTGAGCTTCCCTTGAGTTTCCTTCTTGCTGTTGAGGAAGATTGTCCACGTGTATCTTGAGTAATCATCAACTACCACCAGGACATATTTCTTTCCACTTAGACTTATTGGAGTAACAGGACCAAATAAGTCCATGTGAACAAGACTTAATATCCTTGTAGTTGAGGGTGCCGGTTTTGCCTTGAAAGTGGACTTGACTTGCTTTCCTTTCTGGCAAGCATCACAAATGCTTTCCTTCCTAAATACAGCTTTGGGAAGGCCTTCTACTAACCCTTCTTTGGACATCTTGTTGAGAGTTTTGAAGTTGAGATGACTCAACCTCTTATGCCAAAGCCATAGAAGATAGTGTCACCTTTGCTGATTAGGCAAGCTTCCTTGACATCATCCCACATTACATCATAGATGTTTCTAATTCTCTTCCGAGTGAGAATGACTTCATTTGTGGAGATGTTTTTGAGAGATGCCATGTCCTTGCAGAATTCCAAGGAGTAACCTTTATCACAAAACTGACTTATACTCAGAAGGTTATAATTGAGACCTTCCACATAAGATACAGCTTGGATGGTTAGTCCCTTGTACACAAGATTTCCTAGCCCTTTAGTAAGGCCAAAGTCATTGCTTCCTCCAAAAGTAACTCTTGGACCATCATAGGGAATTAGATTGCTCAAGAGGCTCGCATCACCCGTCATGTGTCTTGAACAGCCATTGTCTAAGTACCAGACACCTGGGTACTTAGCGGCTTCCTGCATTAGGAGGAGGAAGATTTTGGTACCCAATTCAGTTTGGGTCCGGAATAGTTAATGGTGTGTGTCCCTACATCAAGTTTGAAGTTGCAGGGAATTTTCCTTGCAGCCCTAAACGTGTTGGGATTGTAATCATAATTGTAGGCATAAAATTTCCTACGAACAGGTGGTGTATTTTCCTATTTCCACCTAGCAAACCTAGGTTGATAAGACCTATAGTTTTGTCTAGGTTGTGCATAGTGTGGCCAGTGTCGGTTGTAAGCATACTTAGGTGGAACAAATAATTTCTGGGGTGGAGGTTGACTATATTTTGGCATAGTTTTCCACTCAGAATTTCTTGGAAAACTCCTATCTAGCCCATAGTGGGGGTTAGACGGTTTTCTTCTGAAATTATTTCCTCTTTGAGGTCTGTCCAGCTTCCTATAGTTCTTAGGAGGGACTACCTTTTTGGGAACTTATGTGGGTTTCTCCTTTTCCTTTCCTTTATGATTATTGGATTTGGCAGTAGGTTTAGGAGGAATGAAAGTTGTTCTCCCTTTCCTTTTGGAACTGGAGGGGTCAAACCCAAGTCCTTCACGACCCTTTTGTTTGGTCGCTTCAAGAATCTTATCCACTGCTTCTTTGGACTTAAGTATCCCAAGCTCCTTGTTGACGGATTTCACCTTTTCAGAGAGAGATTTATTTTCAATCTTGAGTTGAGTGATCTCATCTAGTTGACTTTTCCGACCTTCAGTCAACTTGAGATTCTCTTCACTCAATAGCTTGTTCTCCTCTGTTAAGGATGAGTGTTTGAGATTTATTTCCTCAAAATCTTTCATCATCTTTTTGATTTTGTCAAAAAGACTTTCAGAAGTTGATATGCTTTCATAAGAAGATGAGCAGGAGGTTTGTGAGGTTACCTCTTGTTCGGCATCATCTTTGGCCATAAGGCAGAGAGTGTCATCTTCTGACATAGTCCACCGATCCTCATGGTTGGACTTCTCAGCTCTGCGCTCCATGCAGACGAGGGCTTCTTCATCCGAGCTTGAGCTGGATGACTCGTCACTTTCAGCTGCAACCATTGCTTTCTTCTTCTTTTCGTTCCTTTCTCTTTCTCTGTACTTCTCCACCTTTGGGTAAGGGCATGCTGACTTCCAATGACCAGGTTTCCTGCAGTTATAACACAAATAAGATTCAGGAGGGGAGTCACTTACCTGTGGCTTTCCCTTGGATGGCCTTCTGACTGAGTCAGCTTTCTTGAAGAACTTCTTGAACTTTCGGAATAGTTTGACCATCATGGCAAATTCCTCATCATAGTTCTCCATTTTTGAGCTTGTCGGCTGGCTGGAGGAAGGTGTGTCACAGTTCCTTGGGCATGTCCCTTCACTCGGTGGGACTCTAGGAGCTGTCATCAATGCCGTGGGGAAGTGAGTGACTTGTTCTTCCTTCTTCTTCATTAACTCATGCTCATAGGTTCTGAGCTCATCAAGGAGACCTTGGACAGTGTAGTTCTCCAGGTTTCTTCCTTCTTCCATGGCTGTGGCTTTGGTGTACCACTCAGTTGGAAGAGATCTCAGTAACCTTACATTCTTTTCTTTGGGAGAAAGAACGTGGTTAAGTGATGCAAGATCATTTAAGATTTTGTGGAATCTTTCATCTAACATATCAAATGATTCTCCGGGAAGCATTTTGAAGCTTTTGAACTTTTCAAGCAGGACTTCTATCTTCTGCTTTCTCAGGTCCTCCGATCCCTCACACAGCTTCCCAAGACCTTGCCAAATCTCCATGGCAGTCTTGAGATGCTTGATCTTGGACAAGGTGATGGGATCAAGTGTCTTGAAGATGGCTGCTTTGGCGACGTTGTCCAGATTGTGCTTCTTGCAATCTCTATCATCCCATTTCTCCTTGGGCTTTGGAATGTACTGGACAACATCAAGATTGGCTGGATTCCTCTCAGGGTTCTCCATTTGGATTTTCAAGGGTCCATCCACATGCAATCATGTAGGGCGTAAAGGTGTGCTTCCATCATGATCTTCCAATCATCATAACCTAGAAGAGAAAACTTGGGCAAACCGTGATCAATATTGTTCACCATTATGATCGCTTCTCGTTAATCTAAATGTAGATAGTGAGAAGGATGCTCTGATACCAATTGGTGGTCCCAAAGTGGTGAGATACAAAGTCTAGAGGGGGGGGGTGAATAGACTTTGTTACAATTTTAAAACTTTTTCGTTTCTTTTGAAAACGTGAAAATAGTGTAAATCTAGAGTTCTTGGGAACTTTAGATTGTGTGCGGAATTTGGTGGGTAGTATGAGCAGTAATCAATATGGATGGGTTAGTTTTCACAGTTAATATAATTGCAAGTAAGAGTAAAGATAAAAGAGAGAGACACGCAAACTTTAACGAGGTTCGAAGGTGGGGTAATCCTTCTACGTCCTCAAAATCCACTATGTAGTTGGTTGTTGAATAA